AAAGGTTTCCAGCAGGAATGTTACACCAGGCTCTGTTCACTCATTTAGGTATTCAGCAAGCCCCTATCCCCAGGCTGCACAGCATCCTGGAAAAAAACTCTGAATTAACTGGGAGTGTTGTGATCTGTAAGTTAAGGTGCTGTGTGGGTGCACTAGCAGAAGCTCTGAGTGTTACCTCCTAAAGTTGCAGAAAGGGAAAGTCATTTCAAGTAAAGGCCGATGGGTTTGGTGAAATTGTGGAAAGTTCCAAATTGCTGGGAGTGGAGGGTAGAAAGAGTCAGGCTGTGCCTGACCAGTTTGGCTCTGTGAATAGTGTGTCAGCCTTCAGACTGAAGGGTCCCAGGTTCGATTCCGGTCAAGGGCATGTACCTTGGTTGCAGGCACATCCCCAGTGGGGGGTGTGCAGGAGGCAGCTGATCCATGTTTCTCTCTCATCGATGTTTCTAACTCTCTATCCCTCACCCTTCCTCTCTGTAAAAAATCAATAATATATATATATATTTTTTAAACTTTTTTTAAAAAAAGAAAGAGTCAGGCTGAAGAGAGAGGCCCAGGGTCCTGGAAGGCCTTGGTGCTGTGTTAGGGAATTTAGACTTGATCCTGTGGCTGGTGGGGGTTCTCTAGATCAATTTGAGAGAGGTTAAGGAGGTGGAAATGAGAGGGTTTCATGACAGGATATATAAGGACTGAGAGAAGACAAGCTCCAGGCTCACTGCTAAGTTTCTGGCTTGGGACCCAGATGGCTTTGGTAAGGGGGGAAAATGATGATGATGTTGGTGTGCAAATGTGGAGGAGTTTGAGATGCCTCTGGACAGCCCAATGGCGAGGGCTGGGAGGTAGCTGGTACATTGTCACCCATGGTTGGGAGCTCAGGGAGAAGTGTGGGCTGGGGACGATAAGTTAGGGAAACATGGAAGTGTGGATGTTAATGAAAGCCCCCACTAGTCATTTTTTTATTTGACACACCTTTATTAATCCTGCCAAGAGGAGGAGGTATAGGGATATGAAGATGAATGAGGCCGGAGGGAAGGCTGAGGTTCAGGCAGTGACACTGTAGGTGCTGTGTGCACATAACCAGCCAGGGAAGACTTTCTAGAAGATGCAGGACTCAGGGAAAGGGACTGCTGGGGCATACTCAGCTTCAAGTGGGCCTTTGGGGAATGACAGGTTGTGCATAGAGGAAGGCTGGGGTCTGGGGGTGTTGACAGGAGAGGTCAGCAGGGAAGATATATGTGAGTGAGGCCTGTCTTTGGAGCAAGAGTGTGTACAAGGGTGTGAAGGGAAGAGAGTAAGGCCAACGACAGAGCTTGGGGACACCAGGTGTTAGGAATTACGGGGGTGGGTTGGGGGGATGGTCAATAGCACCAGCTGCTGCCAAGAGTCAAGGGAGGTGTCTGCCAGGTATCACTGGGGACTTAGGCAGTTGCTGCTTCATTTTAGAACTGATTGCAGTGGGCTGAGAAGCAAGTGGAAGGTGAGAAAATGTGCTCAGAAAGCGTTGGCATCACTTTCTAGAATCTTGGTGGTTATGGGGAGTAAAGAGGGAGGTGACTGGCTGAGGAAGACCTGATGTTTGAGGGGAAAGGATGTGTTTATGGTGTTTTTAAAATGCTAGGAGACATGCCCTGGGGGTGGGAAGGAAGACCAGCCAAAGGGAGTAGACAAATACACAAGAGGGTGAGATACAGGGCATGGGATTGGGAGCCCAGAATGACTTGCCTGCCTGCCCAGCTGGGAGTTTGGAAAAAAGAAGGGCAGTGTGAACAGTGGAGGGGGTTATTGGCCTGCATGTTTCTGTATCTGTTCAGGGGAAGGGGAGACAAGTGTGGGGTCAGGGATGGGAGAATGATGGTTTGGTATGGCTGATGGGAGGAATGACCAGAGCACAGACAGGATACCCAGTGGCCCTGAGGACCCCCCTAAGGCTGGAGAGCAGGACTCTGTAGTGACCTTGTTTATTAGGTCATGATTTTCTCAGTGTGGCTCAGGTTCCTGAGTGTGAGAAAAGAGACCAGGCTTGGCTGGGCCAGTGTGGCTCAATGGTTGAGCATCAACCTATGAACCAGGAAGTCACAGTTCGATTCCTGGTCAGGGCACATGCCTGGGTTGTGGGCTCAATCCCCAGTAGGGTACATGCAGGAGGCAGCAGATCACTGATTCTCATCACTGATGTTTCTATCTCTCTCTCCCACTCCCTTCCTCTCTGAAATCAATAAAAATATTTTGAGAAAGAGAGAGAGAGAGAGAGAGGAAACAGCAGTTGGTTGTAGAGAGCCAGGGTGGGATTTTGGCAAGTGGGTGTGGCACAGAATAGAAGGGAAGAGGGGCTGAGACCATCAGCCAGAGAGTGAAGTGATTGAGCCCGGGGTTTAGAACAGAAGGGTAGTTAGTGTTTGAGATCTTAGCGAAGTTAAAGCCAGGTGTTGGAACCCATGACCCCAGCTCCATCACCACTGTGCAAAGCATGGCTGTCCTTTTAGAAGCATTCTGTGTTCTCCATGTGCATCCAGATATTACAAAAGTCTGAATGTTAAAATGTCATTGTGTCACAGATCTGAACTCGTGTCCTTCTGCCTCACCTCCCCTTAACAAAGAAGAGTAATTGTATGCTCAGAGGTTGTAAATTGCTTAGCAAACAAGTCAAGAATGCTCACAGAGCCTTTAGTTAAGTGGTTCTCAACCTGTGGGTCACGACCCCTTTGGGGGTCGAACGACCCTTTCACAGGGGTCGCCTAAACCATTGGAAAACACATATATAATTACATATTGTTTTTGTGATTAATCACTATGCTTTAATTATGTTCAATTTGTAACAATGAAATTGGGGGTCACCACAACATGAGGAACTGTATTAAAGGGTCTCGGCATTAGGAAGGTTGAGAACCACTGCTTTAGTTGGTCTGTTGCTTTCTAGCTGATGTAAATGTTTGCTATAGAAATATCAGCATTCCCATCTTAAAATCCATTGGACACAGTGTCTTGTCTTGGAGGCTGTTGAACTTGCATGCTTTGTGAGAAGCCAGAGGAGGGAGGAATAGGTCTGACAGAAGGTGTCCTTCATTCATTCAGCAAACAGTGGAGGATTTACTATGTGCTGGATGCTAGGAATGCAAAGATAAATGGGACCCATCTCTCTGGGGAGATAGGGCTGTGAGTAGTGACAAGCTAACGTAGTGATAGGTACGGGGGTCCTGGACAGCTTCTGAAAGGAGGCAGTGGTCTGGCTAGGTCTCATGGGTTGAGTCAGAGAGCAGGCGCAAAGACACAGAGGCAAGAAGCAATCTGGCAAGGAATGCACGAGGACCAGGACACAGTTAGATCCGTGGGCCTCGATTTCACTGTACTTCTCTTCTCAGCCAAAAGGAAGAGCTCAGGCTGTCAGGAAAAAGCCAAGAAAAATAGTTTTATGAAGAAAGCATCAGAAAATCAAGATGTTGCCCTAGCTGGTTTGGCTCAATGGATAGAGCATCGGCCTGTGGACTGAAGGGTCCTGGGTTCGATTCTGGTCAAGGGCACATGCCCTGGGTGCGGGCTCAATCCCCAGTAGGGGGCGTGCAAGAGGCAGCCAATCAATTATTCTCTCTCATCATTGATGTTTCTATCTCTCTACCTCCCCCTTCCTCTCTGAAATCAAAAATATATATATTTTTTAAAAATCAAGATGTATTTTTCCAAGTAAGCAGTGACTGGTTTCCAGTCAGGGCAGACTTTATAGTTGTGTATGAACTGGAATGTTCAGGAATCCCTGTGGTGGCTGGCACCTCCAAGTCTCAGAATTGGGAGGACCTCAAAGGATAAAAGAGAAACTGAGGACCCAGGAGGAAGCAGTATATGGGCTGTGAGTTGGGCCAGCTGGGTGCCACACCCAGCTCTGCCACAGACTAGCTGTTAATCCTGAGAAAGTAACCAGGTTGAGCCTGTGTCCTCAGTTATGAGGTAAAGATGATGAGCAGACAGACCCCAAAGCAGTGACAAGGTGCTTGGCAGATAGAAAGTGCTCGCAGATAAAGCAGAGAAAAAGCAAAATAAGTAAATAAATAAATAAAGCTTGCCTTATACATTTCACCTTTCTTAAAAAAGATTTTTAAATGATTTTTAGAGAGGAAGGGGAGGGAGACAAAAAGAGAAACATCAATGTGAGAATGAAACATAGATCTGCTGCCTCCTGGCTGCCTTCTACACACCCCCTACCAGAGATGGAGCCTGCAAACCAGGTGTGAGCCCTGACAGGGAAACAGAACCAGAAACCTTTCAGTGCATGGGACGACCCCCAACCAACTGAGCCCCACTGGCCAGGGCTTAAACACTTTATCTTAATTTAAAACATTAATAAGTCTGCTGACTAGATTGCAACTTTTTTCCCCATACACCTCATTAATAATGTATTACCTACAATTTCCAATTTTGTTTTTAAAGAAGAGTGGCCTGGCCAATTTGGCTCGGTGGTTGCCGTTGACCTATGAACCAGGAGGTCAAGGTTTGAATCCCTGTCAGGGCACAGGCCTGGGTTGCAGGCTCCATCCCCAGTGGGTGGTGTGCAGGAGTTGGCTAATCAGTGGTTCTCTCTCATCACTGATGTTTCTGTCTCTCCCTCTCCTTTCCTTTCTGAAATCAATAAAAATATATTTTTAAAAGAAGAATGAAAACTTACAAGCCATGACAAAGTGATCTGTATACAGAGTCCTTCTAGATTTTAAAACATTATTTATTTTAAATATATTTTTATAGCTTTCAGAGAGGAAGGGATAGGTAGAGAGGGATAGAAATATCAATGAGAATCATTGATCCACTGCCTCTTGCACGCTCCATACGAGGAATCGGGCCCACAACCCAGGCAAATGCCCTGATCAGGATTTGAACCTTGACCTCCTGGTTCATAGGTCAACCACTGAGCCACATTGGCCAGATCCTTCTAGATTTTTATGATCTTTGTTCCAATCTATAGTTGTCTCCCCATACCTGATTTAATATTTTTTAAAAATTAGACTCTTGTATTCATTCAATTTAGCTTTATTAGACAGCCGTCACTTTTTTACCATTTTACTAATATGACATTTAATTGAATTAGATTACTATAGTTATGTGTACAGTGTACAAACATAACTAACTTTTTTTGTGCATTTAAAAAAATCTTTTAACATAATTCTTGACTGGCTGCCTCATCTAGTGGGAGCAGAGTCCTGCAGGTACACTAAACCCCAGATGGACTGCAGGCTGCAGACATCACCCAAAAGATTTAGAAAGGAATACAGCAGGTTGGTGACAGGAAGATCCATCTAAGAAAGCATCTATACTATTTATAAATAGAATTATTGATGCTCATTTCAGAACAGCAAGTTGATGTTATAAAATTACTATGTGTTTCGGGGGCAGGCAGATTTTCTTGTTCTGGAAGTTTGGGCAGGCTTTTTGTGTGCCTTCGGGTCTGTTTTCTTAGTTATAAAATAGGGATGTCATCCCTGCCTCTCAGGGCAGAAGTGGTGCATGAAATAACCAAGCGTCACCCACGGGAGATACACAACGCTGTTTCTTCTCCCACCATGGAGCTAATTCATGTCAGCCACTCTGGGGAGAATTTGGGGCTGACCTCGGTTTCCTATACTTTCAGAAGTCAGGTTTCTAGCCCTTCTATCGCCACCTCCAGTGCCAATCGCCAGCTGATGATGCTGGAAGGGAAGTCGGGACCCTACTTTTCATCTCTGGACTCTAGCATTGAGATCCTGAAGAAGAGGGCCCAGGAGCTGATCGAAAACATCAATGAGAGCAGGCAGAAGGACCATGCACTCATGACCAACTTCAGGGACAGCCTCAAGATCAAGGTGACAAGATTTCCCCACACACACACTGCAAAACCCCAGTGGGTGGGGCAGGGAAAGCCCTTATGTAAAAGGTGAAGGGTAGGAGAATGAACCATGAACCACTGCGGAGTATGTTATGGTTCCAGCATGGTGCCAGGCAATTTGCATTTGGTACCTCATTTTACCCTTCCAACAGCTCTGCAAAGAATGGACCCATTTTATAGATGGGAAAAGTAAGGTTTAGAAATAATTTTTCAGAATGAGAGACCGAGGTCTAGCTGCACCCACAGCCCGGCCACCTTATTACATACCAGGACTAATGGCTATTGGAAGGAGAGGATTGAGGCATAGTCTGTGCTAACACAACCATTTTTCCTCCGGAAGTCAAATGGCTTTGGTGGCAGAGTAGAGATCCCTCAACATGACCAGGGCTTATGTCTAACAAAGCCTGTTATGTTCAGGTACAGTGTGAATGATTATCCCTGATGCTTCTTCAGAATGCACACGGGATCTCAGGAGTAGGACATCTCTTGACAACAGGCTGACTTTTCCCCACCTTTTTTGCCCCCTCCCATCTCTACCAGTACACATAGCAAATTAAATAGAGCATAACATAGCAGAAAAAATATAAAAACATTCCTATGATCCCACCACCCAGAGGCTACTTTGTTGCATATTTTCTTCTAGTCTCTGTTATGTACTTTCTTTTTAACCTGGTGGAGCCTATACGGTATACATCATTTTGCAATCTTGCTTTAAAATTTTTTTCTTAATATAGGCAATTTTCACTCCTACTCACTGGAGTTGTTTTTTACCATTTTTAAAAACTATGTTTTTATTGATTTTAGAGATAAAGGGAGAGGGATAAATAGAAACATTGGCCCTAGCTGGTTTTACTCAGTGGCTAGAGTGTCAGCCTGCGGGACTGAAGGGTCCCAGGTTCAATTCCAGTCAAGGGCATATGCCCACGCTGAGGGCTCGATCCCCAGTAGGGGGCGTGCAGGAGACAGCTGATCGGTAATTCTCATCATTGATGTTTCTATCTCTTCCTCTCTGAAGTTAATACACATATAATTTTTAAAAAGAAACACGGATGAAAGAGAAACATCATTGATTGAGCCCGCAACTAGGGCATGTGCCCTGACTGGAATTGAACCGGTGACCTCTTGGTTCATAGGTAGATGCTCAACCACAGAGCCATACAGGCCTGCCTTTTTTTTTTTTTTAACAATTTTTAATGATAAACTGCAGAAATCTTAGGGAGCCACTTAAAACACATGTCTTATGATGCCTCTGGTTTGATTTTTTCAAAAACATGTCATATTGTTTAAAAGGTTTCAGATCTGACAGAGAAGCTAGAGGAGAGGATGTATCAACTTTATAATCACCACAACAAGATCATTCAGGAAAAGCTCCAAGAGTTCACCCAGAAAATGGCAAAGATCAGCCATTTGGAAACAGAGCTCAAACAAGTGTGCCACACTGTGGAGACCGTGTACAAAGACTTCCAAGACCTGTGTGTCCAGCCAGAGGTATGACTACACCCATACAGGAGGCTCTGCCTGAGGAGAGTTGTAGGGGCTGAGATGAAAGTAAATGTAACAGAACCGGGAGCTCCTGCCATCTCGCTTGTGGCGCCATACTCTCCTGTAAACATGGGGTGTTGGAGCTGAGAAGCCAGCCCACTGTTATTTCCCACTCCTGTGTGGCCAGCTCTGTGGTGATAGAAAGGACAAAGTCCCCTCCACCCACAGCCCTGAGCAGTGCCTAACCAGGTTTACTTATTACAGCAGAGGCAAAGATGCAGACAAGGGCCAGGTCACTGTGGGGGCACAAGAAATTCCCACATGAGTACCTCCCAGCCCCCACTCATGTTCATTTCCCTGTGACTGAAAGGACTACTCATGTAGCGGTTACAAGTAAATGTGGCCCAACACTGAGGATCAGACATGCAGCTCTTTTTTTATAGTATTACAGATGTCCCCAATTTTCACCCCATTGCCCCCCTCCCAGACTCTTTATTATTCTCTCCCCCACATTCTGCCCCAACGTCAGCATAAGGCACTTATCCCCCAGATGGGAAGGTCAGAGGGTACACAGGGAACTCAGAGGGAGGGTGGTTGCTCGGTCAGACACCAGATCAGGTCTCATAGAGGTTGCTTCTGTGTCACTCTCTTTCTTTTCCCTGCTTCCTGTCAAGAGAAGCTTCTGTTCCAAGCTAAGTGGGGTCCACTGGATTGAGAAACTTGGTACAGAGTCCGTCTTCTTTATAAGGAGCACATATGAGTGACTTCAAAAGGGAAATTTTGTAATTTAAAAATCAGTGTCTCTCACCTCCCAACATAAAAATTGGCTCCATCTGCCACCTCCCTGAGTAAGCGCAGAGCACAGCCGCTCCCTGGGAAGGGGTTCGGTACCATCCAGGCTGCTGGGTGAAGTGTATTCACTTGCCGGCTGTGAATGCCTGGATCCCTGTGATTGCCCTTCCGAGGATCAAAGCGTGAATGTCATGAGTACCTGGACAAGATAAATACAAAGTTAGTTTGGTGTCTTTACAGCTTACCACTTCCCTTTAAAGTCAATCTTCATTTCCCCTCCCCAGGCTACTACTTTGGAAGAAGAACAAGCCCATAAAGATGGCGAATGCTGACAGCTTCTGAGAGAGTTACCTCTTAGTGACAGCCACCAAGAGAAGGCTCAGAGGCCACCATTCTGGCCACACTGAGAAAATTGTTTTTCACAGTTCTATAATGCATCTTAGAAAAAACAAAACAAAAAGCTTGTGCCAGACCCAAAGGCAGGGAGTCCAGCCACCATCATGGGCCCAGATTTGGTGTCCCCAACATGTGGCAAATTTACCCCACCCCAGCCCTGCACAGTTCATTAAACATTTGATTTTCAACCCAGCCATGCTTCCTTCCCATGGAGGTGGAGAGTTCTGATGGGTTCTGGACGCACATCAGGCCCTTTCTCATCCACAGGAGGGATGCGAAAGCAAACATCACTTAATGGTTTGCCCAGCTGAGCTACTCTGTCCTGAGGCTGCCACCTGCCCTTGAGTTTGGGTAATACTTTACATGCCTCAGTGCTCTCATTTGCTCTTCAGCTTCCAGGGTCAGAAGGCAAAGATTACTGTCTCCCTTATATGGAGCAAAATGATTGTTTACTTTCTAAAGTGCACACCTGACCTTTCCCTTCCCTTTCCTAAAATCATCTGAAGACCCTTTCTTCTTACCCTGAGGGTCATTCCCACCTGTAGGATCCCCCCACCCCTCCCTCTTTGAGTCTGTGGAATGTCCCATCCAGAATAGCACACAGAAGCTATTTCACCGTCTCTGCCTAGGAAGCTCCTACACCTCCAAGGACTCAGTCCCACTTTTTCCACATCTGTTTTCCCATGAGGCATGGGTTCCAGACCCCATTTGCATCACATCCAGTTGCCAGCTGCAAACACCACAGTGCAAATGGTTCTCTTTCTCTTAACATAACATGGAGTGGCCTGTGTGTATTCTCCTTTGTATCACCAGCTCACTGGGCATCATGCCCCACTCTGGGGCTGCCTGAGAAAGCCATCAGCACTCCTGGGAACACCTCCAAGCAACATGAAAGAAAGGTCAGAGAGCACCTCACATCCCAGGTCCCAGTGTGAGCCACTCAGATGAGGAATATAGGGTGGGAGCTGCCTCATGTCATGCTGCCAGTGGTGACAGCTGTCCCTGCCCCTCTTCCCCAGATAGTGAGGCCACTGCAACCATCCCATTCCCTGAAGGATCCAGCCCCACCTTCATAGGTGTTCACGGCCTCCAGGTTCATGGCATGCCGGATCACATGATACTCATCAGAAATCCCATTTCCCCCCAGCATGTCTCGGGCCTGGCGGGCGATGTCCAGGGCCTTCCCACAGTTATTCCTCTTCAGCAGGGAGACCATTTCCGGAGTGGCCCTGAAAGCAACACAGACATGTAACAAGTGTTGATTACAAAGAGCTGATCCTGCTCCAGGCACCCCTACACCCTAGACAAACCAGCCAGGGGGAGGATTCCCCATGTTACAGTCAAAGCAGCAGGCACCAGGCACCAGGCTCCCCAAGAGGGACAAGAAGGGTAGGCCCTGGCCCATCAAGGCCAAGAGAAAAGGGATCAGGACCCCAAGGGCCACAAGGTAGGAAGGACTTTTCTTAGGGCCAGCAACCACCATGCCCAGGAGAAGTACAGGGTCCTGTGACAGCTGTCCCACTCTGCCTCCCACTACAAATGGTCCCTACTTGTCTTGATCCTTCAAGCGGCCAAGCTGCAGGCAGGCATGAAGGCCCAGTGTGATCTCGGTGAGCATGTCCGCCAGCTTCTTCTGAATCAGCTGGTTCCTGGCCAGTGGGACGCCAAACTGTATCCTAGGCAGGCAAGGTCAGGGTAAATTAAAGAGGGGGCCCACTCTCCAGTCCTCTCCCAGGGCTCCACTGGCCCAGGTAGCCTTTCCAGGCTGCCTCAGTCCCTGCCGAACTCGTGCTGGCCGTCGTTGACTCAACCCATCACTGCTCAGCGGGCCTTCCCCGGCTATTTCACACAGCAGGGAGCCTAGGTCTGGTGGGCTGGGCTGGGGAGTCACCAGTGGGGTACAGGATGGAACCTGAAGCTCTCAAGTCAGCCCCCACTCACCTGTCCAGGGTGTACTGCCGGGCTGTGTGCAAACAGAACTCAGCAGCTCCAAGTGCACCCCAGGCAATGCCATACCGGGCGTTGTTTAGGCAGCCGAAGGGACCCTATAGGATTGAAAGGGGACCTTATCTCCATCAGGAAAAAGCTGAGAGGGTGTGTGCAGAACCAGCTCTGAAGAGGGGGACACTCCCTCCTCAGACACCCAAACACATAGTCAGTGTAAATGGGGGGATTTAGGTAGGCCACTTAAATCACACGCAGCCCTGGCACCAAAGCTCATGCATGGCAGATCTTGCTCAGTGCCTACTCATTCTTGATTTTCACACAGTTCTACCCAGCCCAGGATCTGGATTGGCTGCTCAGATATAGGAGCTGACATAGGAGACAGGAAGATATGCATGTGTCAAAGGATTAAGCTGATTCTGGCCCAATGTGTCCTGGGCAGAGCCAGTATGAGCAAGATAATCACCAGAAAGGGACGTGCACAGGGACCATGTCTGTCTGGTCCCCAGCACAGGGCCTGCCCAAGAAAGGTGAATCAGCATGTGACCCAACACCAGTTCCCAAGGTGGCTCTGCTCACCGCCAACCCGGAGGCATTGGGCAGCACGTTCTCCTCTGGTACCTCCACACCGTCCATGATAATCATACCCGTGGCTGAGGCCCGCAGGGAGAACTTGCCCTGGATCTTGGGGGCGGAGAGGCCCTGCATCCCCTTCTCCAGCAGGAAGCCCCGAATGCAATTATCTTCACACCGAGCCCACACTACAAACAGGTCGGCCACAGGCGAGTTGGTGATCCTGGGGGGTGGGACAGACAGTGAGGATCTGGCTGCCACCCCTCTGCCTCTGCCTACCCACCTGAGGTACCCAGGCCCCTCACCATGTCTTGGCCCCATTGAGGGTGTAGCTCCTGCTGGACGGGTTGTGGCGGGCTCTGGTCTCCATGCTGCCAGGGTCACTCCCGTGGTTGGGTTCTGTGAGCCCGAAGCAGCCCAAGAGCTCCCCTTTGGCTGTAGGTATGAGACAGGGTGTCCCTCATTTACACCCTCAACTGAAAAGGGTCACCCTCTCCACTGAGCCAGGCTAAGGCAGATCTGGCCCTGCCTTCACAGCACTTCAGGTGATGAAGGGACAGGTCTCCCCCTCCCCTGCCATAGTCACATGCCATGATGGGGGACCCAGAGGAGTCACCTAAATCTCTTGAAGGGGCATGAAAGCTAAACAGGAGAAGGTGTGGAGAAAGCAGTCCTGGATGTGGGAAAAGGATGTGCAAAGGCCCAGTGGTACATTTAGAGTTCCAAGTAACTGAGTCTGACTAGGGCAGCGCATCAAGAGAGTGACCACAGATGAGGCCTCTTGGACCCAGTCAGGAAGTTAAGACTTTAAACTTTGGGCTGGGATGGGGGAAACAAAGCAAATCAAGAGGGAGACTGGGAGATGATGGTTGTGAGCAGGGGCCCGAGTCAAGAGAGACCTAGGAGGAGATGGTCAGGATTTATGGGATGAAGCCCAGGCTCTGGCAGAGGGTCCAGGTGGCCGTTGGTGCTATCCTTGAAGCGGGAAGAGAAGGTAGGCTCAGGGGACAGCCCCATCCCTGAGTTCCAGACCACGGGGACTGTCTTCCACCGAGCCCCACAGGAAGCCACTCACCCAGCCGAGGCAGGTACTTCTGCTGCTGCTCTTTGCTGCCATATGCGTAGATGGGGTGCATGACGAGGGAGGACTGGACACTCATTGCTGACCTGTAGCCACTGTCCACCCGCTCCAGTTCCCGGGCCAGGAGCCCGTAAGCCACAGATGAGGCTCCAGCACAGCCATACCCTGGTGGGGGAGTGGGGAGAGGAGACAGGGCAATGGGGGGCAAAGCCTGCCAGCTGGGACCAGTGACTCCTGAGGCCCAAGAGACAGATACATAGGGGCACCCAAGCAGGGAGCGCTAAGCTGGCCCTCGCTTGAGGGTTTACTCATTTCAGCCCTACAGCGGGACTGAGGGACAACAGCCTCACTTTGCAGACTGGGAAACAGGCTCTGGGAAGTAAGGGGCTTTCCAGCACACAGGTGGGGCTGCCGAGTGTGGAGAGACTTATCCCTACCTTTGATGGTGGGGCCCAGCACACCAAGCTCCCCCATCTCCGAGATGATCTCCCGGTGAAAAACTGCAAATGGACAGATGACCAAGGTCAGGCCTACCTCTGGCCCACTGGAGACCCCACCCCAGGGACAGAGGTGCCCAGAAGCCCAGCTAGAGTAGGCAGAGGTGCTGTGTATGGTGGACAGGGTGCCCACTAGCCCGCCTGGGCACCTTCGTTGCGATTGGCCAGCAGAATTCGAGGCATCAGGCGCTCCTGGCAGTAGGTGCGAAAAGTGTCCCTGATGAGGATCTCATCAGCTGTCAGCTGCTCCTCCAGCACCAGCGGGTCCCTCCAGTCAAACTCAGGGCGCAAGGCTGGGACAGGAAGCAGGGGCTCGACTCAGCCCAGCCCACACCTCCCTCAGCCCACCGCGCGTCTCTCCCAGAATCCTCCACCCCATCTGGCCCGAGGTTGGATGTGGGCTGCAAACAGGACTGGCACGGGGGCCTTTCCCCCGGAAACTCACTGTTGACTCAGTGCCTCCGCCCCTAGCCGCGGCCCTGCCTCCCTGCCCGGGCAGCCCTCGGACTCTGGGACAGAGCCCACCGGGCAGAGAGACAGCAGGACAAGGGCCTTAGACGCACGCGCGACGAGGGGTCCTTACATTTGTCCGGTCGGCTCTGAGTCTTCCCGCCCTTCTCTGAAAACACAGGACGAGAAATCACCCCGGAAAACTCTTGGAGTCTCCAGTTCCACCCTCCCCACCCCACCCCCGACCCGGCACTGACCGGTCAGCGCCGCGGCCGAGCCCCATCCGCGCAGCAAGCGCAGGACGGGTCCGCGGCTCAGCAGCCGCAGGGAGACGCCTCTCAGGGCCATGCGGGCGGCGGGCGGCGGGCAGCGGGCAGCGGGCGCAGCAACCACGGCACCTGGAGGCGCGGGGACGTCAGAGCGGGGTGGCTCCCGCCGCAGGCCCGGTCCCTTGCGCCCCTCGCCCCTCTGGCCAGTCCCCAGCCAGCGCCTTCCAGCTCCCTTTACGGGCCAAGGAACAACTGACGGAGGCTTTTGACCTCCGGCGGGGGGCGGGGTGGGAGGGGCGGAGGCCGAATGGGGCTTCTCATTGGTTCGTCCCCAGACGGGCTCCTTCACGGGCCTGCTTTTTAAAGGAGCAATGGCAG